AAAAAAAAAAAAAAAAAAAAAAAAAAAAAAAAAAAAAAAAAAGAAATACGTTTTTTTAGTCAAGCTCGCTATTTTCCTGATGTTCTTACATAGACAGTCTCCCATAAAACCATTTACCGTATTTGAAATAGGTGCCTGATTGTGAGTGTAATACTGTTCTCTTTCAGTTGATTACTTAGTGTCGATTGGAATGCGGCATATGATTGAGGATCTTCTTTACAAGTACAAAGTAGACCTAGCGTTATGGGCTCACTACCACAGCTATGAGCGAACTTGTCCAGTATACAAGGGAAAATGCCAACATGGTGCACCGGTCCATATCGTGGTTGGAACAGGAGGGAAAGAGCTTGATCTAGCAAATTACTTGAAGATGGATTGGTCAATGTTTCATATGARTGATTATGGCTATGGGCGTGTCACTGCTTATAATCACACCACGTTGCTATGGCAGTGGATACGTGCAAACGATACAACTTTGCTGGACCAGGTTTTGTTGCAAAAGTGACAAGCCGTTTTCATGACCTATCTTCTTCCGAATTATATCTAATRACAATACTTCAAATTTAAAATTCATTTTTTATGTATCGTTAAAGAACATGATCATTACAGCCATTCTCAGACACTCCTGCACACGTGCCAGTTCCAAACAAAATGTCTTGCTCCAGATGCAAACTTGGTGGACGTCAATCAAAGACATTTCCATGAAGTTGGTTTCTCAGATATACAAATATTGCCACTGAACTGATCATATGTAACAATTAGATTACGAGGTCGAGTTGTCTATGAGTCAATAGATAGTCGATGAGGCGCGTAGCRCCGAATCGACTATTTGACTCATAGAAAACGAGAACGAGTAATCTAATTGTTTTAGTATAAACCTACTAGCTAATATTATAGCATTGAAAACAAAGAATGACACTGAAAACTTTACTGAACAAAACGACGGTCAACCGGCGGCACCGGTTTTCATTCATCTTTGCGAACTCGACTATCTGAACATACAGTCAATATTTTCAGCGCGGTATAATTTTTGAATAAATCCGTTCAGTTTATCACTCATTCAATTAGAAAAGTTCCCAAGAACAGATAAAAAGGTGGAAAATATTGGAAAGATAGTTTTGACCGTAAAAATAGAGTCAAAAAGTTATACAAATAGAGCACTACTTGGAGTTTAAGCTTATACAGTCAATGTCATTAACGTTGTTTGTTGTTAACGTTGTTGTTGTTGATATTTTTATATATTTTTTTATAAATATGTTTGTTGATTGAACACTTTGTTTGACTCTC